ATGCTTGTTGACAACAAAATGAAATGCCCTAAACAAGCAAAGAATCAGTAAGTCCATATGTTTGATAAATCTGAGGAAGTAAATGGAGATTTGAAATACGGTAGCGATGTATTTAAAATGAAAAAGAAACCACAGGTACCTTTTCCCTTGCCTGTCTGCCCACTCCCAGGATACTTCTCGAGGGCATGCCAGTTCTTCTCAGTCCTTGCCCCGTCTTCTTGCCATTTTTTAGCTCCATACAATGGCTCCAAGTTTGTGATCCTTCCCAGACTGATTTTGTTTTCTCTTTGCAGCACATTGCTTTCCCTTGAACTCGGCGAAGTTTCTGCTCTCTTTTCCCCCTGTTAAGGCTAAAAACAGCAGCAACAACAAAAACGCCATAGATTATTTCCTGGCGTAGTGAGAGAGTTAGAGCCAGTGACAGAGTTCTCATTCTGCATTCATGAGGGAAGCCTGCAACAGGGCAGGAAGGGCTCTCAGAGAGGGAGTGTATGCTCTCGGTTGCAAACACTTAGTAGCCGGTCCTTCTCCAGGTGCCTGGATTGGGAGCTGCTGGGTTTCGGAGATGAACTAACAGAGCTCTGAACTCAGGGGCCTCATGGCCCAGTTAAGGGAGATTCGATGTAGGGGAGAACATGGAAAGCAATGCTGTAGATTCAGGTGGGGACGCAGAGGTAGGAAGGCTCAGGACTTCCTCACTGTGATGGGAAGAGGTGCAATCAGAGGTAATGTTGGGACAGGCTTGGAAGAAAACTGGGAGTCACCAGGCAAGCAAGGAGAGGAAGGACAATCCAGCTGGCATGGCACATCTGGCAAGAGTGCAGTGGGAGGCTGACAGAGGCTCGTGTGCAGCTCTAGGAGTTCTGACCTATCTTGAAGGCAATGTAGAGTCATCGAATGGCTTCAAACCACAGTCAAATGTGCATTGTAGGTCACAATGGAGAAAGGATGGGAAATGGATTGGAGGGAATGAGACTGGAGGGGGCACTGATTGGGAGTCCTCTGCAGTGGTCCAGGTGAGAGGTGATGAAAGCCTGAGTCAAGTGGCTGCATATGAATGAAGAAGGGAACTGTCAGAAAGGAAGATCCAAGAGAAGCTGTCTCCCCATCAGCTTGGGGCACAAGGAGAGAGGAATGAAGCACAGGTTTTAGGATCCAGTGACTGAGTGAATATGCGAAGAGTTGTGGAAATAGGGAATCAGAGTGGAGCATTATCTGCCATCGGAAAATTAATTGAGCTTCTGAACACTTTATACACACTTTGTTTCATTGGTGGCAGATTGCTATCTATTGTTGCATATGCCACCAGGAAAGAAAAATTGCTACTAGGGAAACCACGCCACGGCATGCACTGTAGGATGTATTCTCACACCAAAGCCATTAAAATGTGGCGTGTGTGTGTGTGTGTGTGTGTGTGTGTGTGTGTGTGTATAAAGGGGAGTACATCAGAATCTAGGAAACAGGAATATCTCACTTAATCCTTAGAGGTAAAACTCGCCCAAAGCCACGGAATGAATCAGTGGTGGAGCTAGAACTTAAGCGCATGGTCTAAGGTGGGTTGTGAAGTCACCTGTTCAGCTGATGCTCAGGGTGACAACAGGGCTAAAGACGTGGATGTGTGAAGAAATTGGCAGCATCAGAGCATGTTGAAATGAAGGAAGTGGTACAGAAGAGGCACTGGCACTTACTGATAAGGAGGAACTTTCGCCATCTTTCTATTTATTTTCCATATGCTGTACATTTTTGTGTGCTTCATTTCCCATATTACTGTCTTCCCTTTGTGTTGGATTTTTGTCTTTTTGCAGTGAAGCATTTAAATTCCTTTCTCATTTCCTTTTGTGTACCAGTATAGCCAATAGCTGTTTGATTTGTGCTTAATCATGGGGATTTTGTGCTTAACCTCCTAAAGTTATAACACTCTTGATTGAATTTATACCAGCTTAACTTCCGTGATATACAAACACTGTTCCTTTATAACTGTCTTCATCTTTTTGGTTATTGATGTCACAAAATTACACCTTTATAGTTCATGTGCTCCAAAACATAAAATGATAATTCTTTTAAATGAGTTAGTCTCTTAAATTATGTAGAAAGCAATATTTGGAGTTACAAACCAAAGTTCCAACATTATGAGATTTTATTTATTTATTCTTCAGTTGATGGGCATTTGGATTGTTTCCACTTTTGGGCTATTATGAGTAATGCTGTTGTAAACATTTATGTACACATTTTACTTGTGGACATGTTTCATTTCTCTTGTGTATGTACCTGGGAGTGGAATTATTGAATCATATGGCAACTCTATGTTTAATTATTTGAAGAACAGCTAGACTTCTTTCCAAAGTAACCACACCATTTTACATTCCCTCCAGCAGTGAATGAGGGTTCTAATTTCTCCACATCTTAACCAACACTTGCTATTATCTGCCTTTTTTATTTTGGCCAAACTAATGAGTGTAAAGTGGTATCACATTGTGGTTTTGACTTGCATTTCCCTGGTGACTAATGATATTGAGCTCTTTTTTTTGTGTGTGTGTGTGTGTGTGTCTTTTGTATACCTTCCTTGAAGAAATAACTATTCAGGTCCTTTACCCATTTTTAAAAGTGGGTTGTCTTTTTATCATTAGTTTAAGAATTCTTCATATATTCTATGTACAATTCCCTTGTCATATATATGATTTGCAAATATTTTCGCCCATTTTGTGGGTTGTCTTTTCACTGTCTTAATAGTGTTCTTTGAAACACAAACATTTTTTTACTATTTTTAATTTTTAAATATATTTTTATTAATTTCAGAGAGGAAGGAAGAGGGAAAGAGAGATAGAAACATCAAAGATGAGAGAGAATAATTGATTGGCTACTTACTGCATGCCCTCTTTGGGGGATTGAGGCCATAAGCCAGGCATATGCCCTTGACTGGAATCAAACCAGGGACTCTTTAGTCTGCAGGCCGATGCTCTATCCACTGAGCCAAATGGACTAGGGCAAAGCACAAACGTTTTTAATTTTCATTAAGCTTATCTATTTTCTCCTTTGTTGTTCGTGCTTTTGGTGTCATATCTAATATCATTGCCAAATATGAGGTCAGGAAGATTCAGCTCTATGTTTTCTTCTAAGAGTTGAACAATTTCAGTTCTTACATTTAGATGTTGATCTATATATGGTATGAGATAAGAATCCAACTTTATTCTTTTACTTATTCTTTTATTGATAGTACTATTTTTCTCCCTTGAGGGGTCATGGCACCTTTGTTGAAAATAAATTGACTACAGACACATAGCCTTATTTCTGGACTCTTAATATTATATGATTCTATCCTTACTAATAAAAACCTAAGTAGTCGTCAATCCATCACAAGATGGCTGCATGCACAGTGGGCGTTCGCTGGTAGGCAGGACTGGGCTGGACGTTGCATATGCTGCACGGAGCCTGCCTGGGAGTCCTGCCTCCTCCTGGCTCCGTGGCGTGTGGAGCCAGGAGGAGGCAGGTCCCCTGGCTCTGCATCGCAAAGCCTGCTGAGGGCCCAGTGAGGCCTGCCTAAGGGTCCCCAGCTCTGCTCTGTGAGGCCTGCCTGGGGGTCCCAGCTTTGTGTGGGGAGGTCTGCTTGAAGGTTCTAGGGGTCCTGCCTCCTGGCTATGTGAGATGCAAAGGTGGGAACCCCTGGCTCTGGCCTACTGCTTTAGTGCAATGGATCGAGGGTCTCCTGAACTATGATAGGGCACAGACCAGGCTGGGGAGGAGAGGCCTGAATTTCGTGCACTAGGCTTCCAGTTAGTTATATTCTAAATGTCTGCATTTATGCAAGTACCACATTGTTTTGATTACCATTGCTTTATAGTAAGTTTGGAATTCTGCTTTATTCTTCTTTTTCAGGAGTGTTGTGATTATTTGGTGTCCCTTACAGTTCCATCTGATTAGAACCAGCTTGTCAATTTCTACAAAGAAGTAAGCTGGGATTCCGCACTGAATCTGTAGGCCAGTTTGGAGACTATTGCTATCTTAATATTTAGCCTTCTGAACCATGAAGGTGTGATCCCCCCGCCCCCTGCCCCTTATTTAGATCTTCTTTAATTTATTTCAACAATATTTTGTAGTCTTTCACTTCCTTTTTATTTTGCACTTCCTTTGTTAAATTTATCCACAAGTATTTTATTCTGTTTGAAACTTTTACGAGTAGAATGATATTAATTTCATTTTTAGATTGTTCATTACAAGTATATAAAAATGCAAGAGACTTTTGTATATTAATCTTGTATCATGTTACCTTGTTGAACTTGTGTGTTGGGCCCAATAGCTTATTTTTTTTTTTAGTGGTTTCCTTAGGATTTTCTATATGTAAGATCATATAGTCTGTGAATAGAGATACGGTAGCTTAATTTCTTTCTTCCCAATTGGGATGCTTTTTATTTCATGTCCAATAAGGCTTGGACTTCCCCACACTAGGCTGCAAATGAAGTCAGTTCCCTTTGGGGAGAAATCAGGAGTTCCCTGTGCTCTGGTGTGCTTCTCCCTCTGGGTAAAATCTCAGAGCACTGGAACTGATGTGGGGACAATGGTAAGCTTCTCTCTGAGTGACACCAGGGATTAACTGACAGACCAGGCCCCTTCATTGCAGCTTTAAGGTAATCAGTACTGAACAGTGATTTTCCCCTCAGATTAAATATCTGTCTTTGAAGTGGAAAGTGATGCTACATCTAACGTAAACTATCCAAGGAAAGTGGAGATTGACCCGTAGCTCTAGATTTCAATGGCAGCGACTAGACAGTGGGTACAACTAGGAGGCCCAGGATGTTCCTGACACCCAGGCTGACCCTATCTGCTCCAAACCTTCCTGAGTGAAGCCAAGTCTCAGGTAAAAGGTGGACCACAGAGAAAAAGGCCATTCGCTGGAATGTGGTCCAGGGAGGACGGAAATGCCTCACTCTGTCTCATGGGCAACTCTTCTGCTCAGGCTCTGGAGCCAAGCGCTCCAGGTCCTTCCAGGTGGTTCTGGGCTCCAGTTACCTCCGGTGTGTGTAGTCGTCTCTGCTGTCGGTCTGTCCCCTGGTCCTCATGATGCAGGCCACCTTCTCCAGCAGCAGGCGGTTGTCCCTGTCAATGACGGAGAGCCTGTCCTCCTCCAGCTGGGGGCAGACACAGGAGCCTCTATAAGCGTCAGCTGCATCTGTGACATTACTGTGCACAGATTTATCCAGAGGATCCCTCAACCCCTTTGACTTGGGCACCCTGTGGGTTTCCCATTGCCCCCAAACTTCAGCAATGAGTGTGACATGTGCAGGCTCTTTGGTCTCTGAATTGGAAACTGTTAGGGTGGAGCCAAATCTCAGATGCTCTGAGTAAAAGTAACAGAAAGGATGATATGATTCTTTGTGAGATTATGTCATCCTCTACAATTCTGACCTGTGACAGTGATGCTACCGAGGAAATCACTTTATATTTTAAGAAGAAGAAAAGATTTAAGCTCAGGGAATCAACAATTCTCTTGTTTTAAGTTTTTACATTGGTTGATCTGCTCATTTACTAGGAAGGGATTACTTAGTTTTTGTTCTGCTAATTTAGAATAGTATTACTTAACAGGCACATAAAAAGCACATGGTAGTTTGCTTTAGGGGCATTTTTATCAGCATAATTTATGTGATTCTTAATTTCACTTGACGGCTTAAGCATCAAGAAATATATATTCTGAGGTGGCCATGAAATGGCCTGGTATAAAGAAATGATGCTAATTACTTAATTATTGAATAAATCACCACTGTGAATTTTCTCCCCTCTCCCTCTCCCTTTTCCTCACAGCATCATGGGTCAACATGAAGACTAGAGAAAGATTTCTGGTGCAATTACCCATTAGTTCCATTTGGAGCGTGACAAGGTTGATTAATTGGCTGGACAGAATTCTGTTTTTGATAGTGATTTGACTTGTTTATTCCTCACTGAGCCTGCCTTTTCCATTTTCCTGGGTTTTGAAGCTGACATTTTCTAGTTAACTATGATGGTAGCTGAGAGGTAAAATGGAAAGATACCTTCAGCTTCTTGAGGTTCAGGTGGAAGTGGCTGAGAAACAGTGGGGCATGGGTGTCCACGAGTGGCTGGGCATCCCGGACCTGCGGCACAGAGAAGGTGATGTGACCTCAGGCACACTTGTAGTAGATAATTAATGTGAGCTTAGACCACGCAGCTTCTGGGTTGCTAGCATTGGGAACATACACTGAGTAGCAAGATTATTATGATCTCTGAATGCATAATAATCTGGCCACTCAGTGTGTGTGTGTGTGTGTGTGTGTGTGTGTGTGTGTGTGTGTGTATGTGTGTGTGTGTGTATATATATATATATATATATATATATATATATATATATTTTTTTTTTTTATTTTTTTTTTTACAGACCTGGTGCATGAATTCGTGCATGGGTGGTTGGCCGTCCTGCCTGCTGGTCATCCTCCTGGTCGAGGGGACAATTTGCATATTAGCCTTTTATTATATAGGATATACACTGAGTGGCCAGATTATTATGTGTTCAGAGATCATAATAATCTGGCCACTCAGTGTATATATTAATAGATCAGTATTCCTGGCATTAAAGCTTCCAAGTCGGCTGTGGTAGAATGTTCTCAATGAGGCTCAGGACCTGATTCAGAATCCAAAAAATATCCCCCGGAGGAACCAAGCAGCCCTCAAAAATGAGCCTCTTGTGTCATTTTCAAGTAGAGAATTAAATGGATGTAGAATGCGGTTTCATTGACCGTAGCCATCAGCTGACATTTCTGTTCTGCACTCTGTTGCCAAGGCCTTTAAGACAGTGAATTATGTCCCCGTATCCACTTCACTCTAATCTCTGAGCCTCCAGCAATATGAGCTCCTTCAACATTGATTAACTGCAAAATGATCCCTGCAGAGTTTCCTTTCAGAAAACGTATAAGCAAGAGAAGAGATATATGTTTTAAAATATGATGGACTAAATGTACGAGGGCTATTTACCATTTGCCATAAAAAGGAATCCCGTCAGATTCTATACAGATACTTGCTTATAGTTATCACTAACCACCAGGACCTATTAGCTGATAATCTGAGTGACAGCATTGGGAAGCGCCACAGCTGAGTCTGCTGAAATGATAACATGAGCACCATGCCCTCTGGGAGTCAAACCCCCGGAGATGGAACAGAGCCCGTGTGTGGAGAGCCAGGAGATGGTGAAAGGACTGGATGGCGAGAGGGTTTGAGTCACACACTCGTTTTGGAATGCTTTTAACATTTCATTTTGTTTTATAACATGTAACATGTTTACACATCTCCAAAGTCAAATCTGTCAAACAGCTCCTTTTTGTGGTCTGAGCCCTTCCACCTTCGCCCTATTCCCTGTTGACAAATATTCTAACTTGACAGTGATTCCTTTCATTTCTGAAAATATCCATACTAGTACATATATTACACACATTTTCATCCCCTCTTTTTTCTTTTTCTTTTTAATTATTATTTAAATCTTTATTGTTGAAAGTATTACATAGGCCCTCCTTTCCCCGCTATTAACCTCTCCCAGCCTGCTCCCATCCCCCTTCCATTTCCCCACCACTCCAATGTCTGTGCCCATGGGTTATACATATGAGCATACAAGTTCATTGGTTGATTTCTTTATACCCACCCTCCTCTTTCTTCCTTCTGCATCCCCACTTTTTTTTTTTTTTTTTTAGATATAAAGAGCACATTTTCATCCATTGTTTTTTTTTTTCAAAATACATTCTAGAGATAACTTTATAGTAATATATACAGCTGTTTTCCATCCATTTGTATAGCTGCATAATACTTCCCTGTGTGAAAGCATCCTAATTTTTCACCCAGCTCACTTTAAATATATATATATATATATATTATTGATTTTTCACAGAGAGGAAGGGAGAGAGATAGAGAGCTAGAAATATTGATGAGAGAGATACATCAACCAGCTGCCTCCTGCACACCCCTCACTGGGGATGTGCCCGCAACCAATGTACATGCCCTTGACCGGAATTGAACCTGGGACCTTTCAGTCCGCAGGCCAACGCTCTATCCACTGAGCCAAACTGATTCCAGCCCAGCTCACTTTTGATGGGCATTTTGGTTAGTTCCAATTTTGCTATTACAAATAATGCTGCAATTAGAATCTTTTGCAATTTCTTCATGTATCTTTGCCAGTGTACCTCTGGAATGGATACTTAGAAATGAGACTGCTGGGTAAAGGAAAAATGCATGTATTATTTCATTAGACATTGCTACATTACCCCTTAACCACTCCCCCTGCTGCACACACAGGGCTGTGCCCTTTTGCCACCAGAGCACTGCCAACAAGTTTGGGGACTTATGCCAATCTGATAGTTAAGAAATGGCATTAGAGTGCAAGTTTAATTTGTATTTCTCTATTATAAGTAAAGTTGATAATCTTTTTATAGTTTAAGAGCTATTTGCAGTTTTTTTTCTGTGAACTTTTGTTCATTTCACTTGTCCATTTTCATATGGGGTTGTGTGCATTTTTCTTCTTCTTTTTACAAGTCCTTTATACATAAGGATATTTTAATATGTTTTTTAAAATATAGTTTTATTAATTTCAGAGAGGAAGGGAGAGGGAGAGTGAGAGATAGAAACATTAATAATGAGAGAGAATTATCAATCAGCTGCTTCCTGCATGCCTCCTACTAGGGATTGAGCCTACAACCCAGACATGTGCCCTGACCCAGTATCAAACCAGTGACTTCAAGGTTAATGGGTCAATGCTCAAACACTGAGCCATACCAGCTGGGCCATACATAAGGATATTAACCCTTTGTGATTTAATTTGTAAATACTTCCCCCAATTTATTTTTATTTTTTCATTGATTCTTTTGGATTCATTAGTTATTTAATCATTTTATCCACTCATAGAAAAACAAAAAAAACCAAACCCACTACCTATTTTCTTGACTAATGGATTTGTCTTGTCTACTTGTATGGCTAATAACTCCAACACAATTAAAAAAAAAACCATATAAAAGATAGTAGGCATACTTGTCTTATTTCTTACTTTATAGAGAGCACTTTTAGTGTTTTTCTGTTAATTAAGATAGTGGCTTAGGGATGAGATATTTATATTTTATTACATTAGACAAATACAATTTGTATTTTATTAAGTTTACTTTGATTTTATTTTAGTATAAGTGTGTAATCGGGTGGAAGGTAGAAGGCTCTGTTGAGATGCCAGGATGAGACATGTTCTAGATTTTTGAGATAGTTTTGGGCATGGTGGTCTCCTTCAAGTCTATTTTTCCCCCCTAATTCATCAAAGTCCCTTATATTTCCAGATTTCTCAGCCAAGCAGTAAGAAACAAAATTACTTTAAAGAACTGACTTACCCCATTCTTAATATGGAAGAATTTGTTCTAAGTAAAAACAAAAACAAAAACAAACAAACAAACAACAACAACAACAACAAAAACAATCCTCACCTGAGAACATGCTTTGACTGAGGGAGAGGGAAGGAGGAATAAAGGAAGAGTCGGAGGGAGGGAGAGAAGAGGAAGGGAAGAAAAAAAATTGATGTGAGAAAGAAACATTGATCAGTTGCCTTCCATATGCTCCCCAGCTGGGTATCAAACCCACAACCCAGGTATATGCCCTGACAGGGAATCGAACCAGCAACCTTTTGGTACACAGGACAACACTCAACCAACTGAGCCACTCTGGCTGGTCTAGCCAAGCTTTAATGCCATAAAAAAGGGTTTTGCTGGTTCTTCCTTGCTGCCTCCAGGTAGAACAGGGTGGCTCCAACCCCCACAGCCCTCATTCCTCCTCACCCTCATTCTGCGACCTCCTGATTCATATAGGTCAACACTCAACCACTGAGCCATACCAGCCGGGCATGAATACCCATGTTTCCTCTCATTCAATGGAGCCTTCTGCATCTGGACCACAATTTTTTCTTCCCTAAATGAGTTCTACCCCATGGGGACAGCGGTGCCAGGTCTCCAGGCATCGTCCTCACAGGAACCACCCCTCTGGGAAGCTGTGCTTCCGTTGTCCCATTCTTCACCCACAGTCCCTTTCTTTCCAGCTTTCTTACTGACTGTGCTCAAGAGTGACTCCTTGACCTTGTGTGGCTCCCAGCATCTCTCCTTGACTGGCTCCCCCTCTTTACCTCATCCCCTTCCTGGTAAGATCTGTGGCCCTCCCTTTAACTCCTCATGCCAGGGTCACTGGTTCCTTGGCCCCAGGCCCTGCTGCTGACCACGAGCTGTATTGGGGTGTGCCAGCACTCCATTGTTAGCCCCAGCAACCGTGTGTTGAACTGCATGAGTCGGTGTTATGTGAGTTTATGCTGCCCAACTACACCTGGGACCCATGCCAACTGTCAACACACTCTCCATTCAGTCAGCGCTCCACTTCTCACAATGACTCTTTTGAATCTCCCTCACCTTACAGTTTCTTAGCACAGAGCCTGGTTACTCATTCTTACTGGGGGTGTTTATCAACACCTCTTATCGGGATGATTCTAGTCCCTGGGATACAAAACGAACAACACAACACCCATGGTGTTTACATTCTTGTCCATTAGTCAAAGAGGTGATGCTAATTGGTTTATACTTGTTACTGAAATGCATACCCTTTTCTCTTTTTTAAAATACATTTTTAATGATTTCAGAAAGGAGAGAGAGAGAGAGATAGGAATGTCAATGATGAGAGAGAATCATCGATGGGCATGTGCCCTTGACCAGAATCGAACCACGACCTCCTGATTCATAGGTCGACACTCAACCACTGAGCCACCTCAGCCGGGCATGAATACCCTTTTCAATCTTTCCCTGGCAACAACTATGTACTAAGCGGGTACTGTGTGCACTAGGTGCTGAGAATATCATGGTGATAGGACTCAGCCACCCCCTTATAGGCTGGGGGAAACAAACAAAATAATAAATCTGTTACGTCAATCATGAAGTGACATGAGACAGCAGGACAAGAGACTACAGAGCGACGTGGAGATATGCTTCTTAGGGCACAGACAAGACTTCTAGGAAGATCAGAGGTCTAGGAAGTGAGGGTGAGCCCTGGAACAGTGGGGAGGAGTGCTCAGTGGGACTCTCAAGGAGCACAACAGGTTCAGGGCCCACATGTGCATATGGACACCAGGCAGCCTTGCAGTAAGTGCCAGCTGAGCCTCCCTGAGGCCACCATGTCACACCACAACCCAGCTGGGTAGAACCCTGAAAGAGAAGAAGGGCTTGCCTGGGTCTCATTATCCTGCAGAAACCTTGGTTCCACTGCTCCAGGTGGGGTACTGCAGGGGAGGGGGTTCACTACAGACAATCACAGAGCAGCAATCTGTTCCAGAACATTCCCTCAGAGCATTTCTCAACCTGGATAAACACTGATGTGGAGACATGACCAACCCATCACTGAGCAGTTGGATGGCTCCCCTGAGGTCTCATAGGCAGAAGACCATGGCAGGCCATTTGGAAATCTCATGGTGACCTTCTCAAAAGACGTTCACATTTGCATTAAATTAAATGGAAATAAAATGAATCTTCTAATGGAGATAAAAATGGCTTTTTGTCCCCACTGGAGAGTGCTGATTTAAAAAAAAATCTTCATACTAGAATATGCTTATTGATTTTAGAGAGAGGGGGATGGAGAGAGAGAGAGAGAGAGAGAGAGAGAGAGAGAAACATTGATGTGAGAGAGAACATCCATCAGTTGCCTCCCATATGCTCCCACAACCTAGGTATGTGCCCTGATCAGGAATCAAACCTGCAACCTTTCAGCAGGTCTCTCAGATCTTTTTGTCTTAAGATACTTTTGAGTGAATTATGAAAAACTAAGTACTTTATAAACATATGCGTTGAGAAGGGAATGGTCCTAAATCATGACACATAAAAACCATGATCTATTTATTGGAATTTTTATTGTATGGCAACATATGTGACCGACTTTTTTAGGAAATATCATTCCAACCATTCCATCTCTGAATAGAAAATTAGCTTTTGGTTTTCAGGGAAAGCCCTGGCATTTCATGGTTACTGTTTTGGGAGCCTTCCCTTGAGCCACCAAGGCCTGGCACCCACCATTCCTACCTTCTTCCTGTGATCCTGGTAGGCTTTCTCCCATGTGCTCTGCAGGTACTCGCTTCTGCAGGGAAGTGCCAGCAGGGGTGCCCTGTGCATCGCAAACAGCAACACCAACCAGGTCCTGCAGAGAGACTGGTTCAGGCCCAGGTGCAGCCCTGGAAAGGGCTGTGTTTGCTGGCTCACATGACAGTTGCCACGGCATCTGGGCTAAGGAGAAAGGAAAGAGGACAAGAGGATCGCCTAAGCGTGCTTAACAGAGAATTGAATGCTAGTATTCTTCCACTCCAATGAATGTTTTCTCAAGAGATCTTGACTGGCTTAGTGATGCCATTTTGATGAATACCCCTTGCCTCTCCCATAATAGGTCGAAGAATTTCTCCTCCAACTAACTTTTCTCCTTCCTGTCCTGCCTTCTTTCCTTGCTTTCTTCCACCTCTCTCCCCTTGTCTTTTCTTTCCCTTCTTTCTCATGTTTTCTCCTTCCTCCCTTCTTTCCACCCTTCCTTATTCCTACTCTCTCTAATCTTTTAACAATTTATAATAATTTGGACAATTCCAAATACTTTTATTTGCAATTTAGGTGGCAGATCTTCATTAATTTTTCCCCCAATTCATTTGAGGATTAGTTATAGAAAGTTTTAGCCATTTGAAACCCTTCCTTGCTGAGTGGCTTTTATCTTGTTGGGATGGGTTTTCTATGACACAACTGAGTAAAAGTCATGCGGGCATATCTGTTGAGTCATGCAGCTTTGTTGAAATCATATGCATCATTTTGGAAATGACATGAATTGGTTAACAACAAAGTAGCAATATTATTTTTATTTCAGAATTCTAATCTTCATGACATTACAGTATCCATTACAGAAAATGTCGTAGTGCAGAATTAGTGAATGGGAACTCATTGTTCAGTTGTATGTAAATAAAGATAAAGGGCATTTTATGAGAAATGATGTTCCGCATATTAGCATGATTCAGTGCCTGTCAGTCTGAAAGAGAATTAACCAAGCTTAAATTGAATCAGACTTGGGAAAAATAAGATGTGAATGAACAGAATATGATTGTCCCTTTTTCTGCTGTAGGCAGCTGAGTTACCCTGCACTTTGCTGGTTCTGATGATCTTCAAGACTTTGGCAAAAACCTTTGCAGGCTAGTAAAGTGGTTGATATTTTGACAGTTACAAAGCAGTTTGCGTTTTTCAAAGAACTAATTTATTTTAGTTCAGAATTTCTTACAACTATTAACTTTATAAAACTATGCATGTATAGAAGACAGATGCACAAATTACTATCAGAAAATACAACCAACACTTTGAGACATAAGATTTCATTAAGATTTCTTAGCTTATAAAATTGATATGTCATATCCAGAGGAATTCCATTAAAACAATTTCCCTTACCTAATTATTGTGATTGGTCAAGTCCAATGTTAAGTAGATGTTCAATAATTATCTGCTATTTTAATGATGATGGAAACAATTATAAGGTTAATGAGTGATTCCCCAACTGAGATGTTTTTGGTTCAGACTGGGGCTGGTTCCATATGATTCTTATCTTTCCATTTCCTGAAGCCTCTTTGCCACCTGTGCTGAGAAATTTCTGACAATGCTCAGAGTTGCTGCCGGTCAACTAAAGAGTGGAAGCAGTGGTCTGTCCAGTGTGCTCACATTCATGTGGGCAGACCAGGGGTTGAGAGCAAAATAGGAACTGGAGGGGTCTTTTAACCAATGGGAGCACTCATAATGGGTTGATGCACACATTGTTTTCAATGGCCTCTGTTAAAGAAGTGACCTCAAGTAAGAGTCCTACTCATCTATATTTATTATTAACTGACTAACCACTCAATTAACATTTGCTATTTGATTAAACTTGATGTTTGGGCCCCAATTAAAAGATCTGGAAAAATTCAACATGCCCCCCGCCATGAACCAGAAAGACCATCATCATCTGGGTTTCATGGCCTGGGATTCAGTGAACTGACCCTCACAGGTTCAAACTAAGTTTTGGTCCTTAACTGTGTTCTTAACAAGGACAGGCCAGAAAAGTCAGTTAACTAGTATCTCTTTGGAATCTACCCTGAGGAAATAAACTGAAACACTGATAAGGATCCATATACATCAAGTAATTACTCAGAAAAGTGGAAAATGGAAAAGTCTGGAGTTTAATAGTGTCCATGTTAATTTCTACTAATGTTCTTTTCCTTACTCCAAGATCCAATCCATGATACCACTTTGGATTTTGTGAATTTTTTATATTGAACTGGGTTGAATGTTTAATATCACATAGTTTCTACTCATACCCTGCAGAAAATAAATAACAAAGCCTATTTTTCATTTGATTATTTAGGTAATAATTGTGTGTTTGGCTTCAGCCTTTATCAGTGTTTTCGCCCAACATTGACTTGAATATTGAATTTATTAGAAATTCCCTGAAGTATTACCAAGTGATAGGTATCCTGAATGTGTGAAGACCATTACATAGAAATGTTGTATTGTTTATAGTATATGGTACAAAGCCTTTGTGATATACTATATATCCATTAAATCCTTAATATTCATAATTCTTTCTGTGTCCAATGACTATAACTTTATGTTCAAGCTTCGGTTTTTATGTTCCTCTACCTTCCCACAAGAGCAATGAGATAAAAAACAAAGCAACAGGCTTTGTTCTTATTCTTATTCCTCAGAACAGAAGAGAAAGAGAGAGAGAGAGAGAGAGAGAGAGAGAGAGAGAGAGAGAGAGAGAGAGAGAGATTATCACTCAGTTGCCTTTTATATGTGCCCCAACCAGGGATTGAACCCAAAACACAGGTATGACATGAAATCCAACCACCAACCTTTAGGTGCATAGGACTATGCTCAGCCAACTGAGCTACTCTGGCATGGGCTAAGGCAATGCAGCTTTAAGGTAAAAAACAAAACAAAACAAAAAAAACATGACATGTGACCTTCAAGAAGTGCTTTTAGTATAAATTGGATCTATCCAGTGAGTGTTTGACTCACTGGATAGATCCAATTTATACTAAATTGAGTGCTTGACTCATTGGATAGATCCAATTGATCATAAGGAGTTCTAGTTGCCAGTAATTAGTAATGGTGATGTTAACTGTAATCTTAGTTATGCTACCACTTCTCATGAATGTTAGTCCTGCAAAGATTCACTGAGGTCTATTAATCCTATGAGAGAGAAAAGCTTAGTACACACACAGTGGATTTTAGTGTTATTTACTTACCATTAGTGAAGAGCTGCGCCTGAGATGTCCACTGTGGGACACTGGTGCATATTAACACGATGGGATATAGTACAACTGATACTATTGTATTATATCGGAAAGATTGTAAACCCAATAGAGCAAGTACCAAATTGTTCCTCCTATAATATGTAAGAATCAAGTGTGTTCCCAGAACCTAGAAGACATCCTAAGAAAGTTAATTTGTCAATAGGTGAAGATAAAAAGATTTTTAATTTTGAAAGTGGATTTTATCATATTTGTGTGGTTGATTTTTTAAAATTTCCTTATTGATTATGGAATCACATATTTGTCCTCATCCCGCCATTCCCATCCCAAACCCCTCCCCACCCTCTGTTGTCTGTGACCACTGGTTAGGCATATATGCATGCATACAAGTCCTATGGTTGATCTCTCCCCTTTTCCCCCATCCTTCCCTACCTTCCTTCTGAGGTTTGACAGTCTGATCGATGCTTCCCTGTCTCCGGGTCTGTTTTTGTTCATCAGTTTATGTTGTTCATTATTTCTGTGTGGTTAATTTTTAAAAAATCTATTTATTTGATGTGCAAATTAAGCCTCGATTACACCATTTCCAGCCCACTCTCTTCTCCCTGATGACACTTTTCTTATCCAATAAGCTTTGAGAATTCAACTAATACATAATGCTCTCCTTTCCCCCAATCCTCACTTACCCCTTCACAAGACAGAGTCTCTTTCAAAGCAAACAAGAATCTCCTTGGCTTCTGATGTCTAAACAGTGCATTCCTGGGTCCTCACATTTTCGGGTCATGTGGTCAGTGAATGCGTCTTTGCTTAATCAACCCCACACTGTTTTCATGGCGTCTGGCTGTCTTAAGGCATGTGCAGAGGGGAGTCCACATATCAGGAAAGCACTGAACACTGTGACCATTTCCGGGAAGAATGTCTAAGGGCACTAGTCCTTCTTTTTCCCTCCTCCTCTCCCAAGCTGGCCTGAGTGAAGAGCTGATTTGAATTTTCAGTCTGCTTTTACTGGGAAACCCGGGCAGAGCTGACTCCTTTGGCAGTCTTGCCAAGCACTTCCAGCTCCCCATGTAGAGAAGCAGAGGCACAGACCCACCATGATCTTTCCCAGGGCCTCCACCCAATTTACTTTTTACTCTGCCTATAGAAGGCAGTGAAACTTTTAGAGCTTCTGTGCTCTTTTGAAGGAGCTATTTTTTTGTGTGTGTCCCTAGTTATTGGTCCTCAAGTCTGGCCTTTGGTGAAGCTCAAGCCATCAGCACAGGGAGGATGGCTCTGGAGGGGGGGGGGGGGGTGAGGGGGCGGGGAAGCGGGTACCGGCTGGATCAGAGGAGTCTGAAAGGCAGCCAGTCCCTGGAGGAGAACCCACAGGCCCTGCCTGCCAGGAAGGCTGCTGGGAGCCGCCTTGGATTGCCCACTGCTGTGGACACCATCTCAATAGCTCTTGAAGTCTGGACTCTGCAGGGGGCACAAACTACACAGAATGTGTGTGTGTTCTGAACCCCTTGGGGGAGGAGTGGGGCGGTGTCTGGGAGACACTCCAGGTGCCCTTGAGCACTTCGGAACCGGGGAGGGAACAGGGCCCCAGGCCCTCAACCCCACCGACTCTGCTGTCATTTAATGCGGATGTGACTGAAAAATAAATAAACCGTTTTCTCCATCATCCAAACAAGGAAGCAGTTCATGAGTTTTTTTGGCAGCATAGCCTTCCCTTCAAGAAAAAGGAGAAAAATGAAACTGAAAAACAAACGGCCCTCTCTCCAATGTACAAGGAAAACGAGATGTGAAAAGAGAATAATATTCATCTGAACAGGGAGGGATGAAGCACCTTGACCCCTAGTGGGACAGCAGTTCTGGACAAGGAATTGC